CTCCAGCAGTCACAACTATCTTCCTTTGATGTGAAGGTGCCAGTGTTGGACTGGGGTGGACAAAATCAGAAGTCACACGACAGTAGGTTATAGTCCAACAGGTTTATTTGAAGTCACAAGCTTTTGGAGCATTGCTCCTTCATCAGGTGAAGTTCACTGGATGAAGGAGCAGGAGTACAAAAGCATGTGATTTCAAATAAACCTGTTGGATTATCATCTGCTGTTGTGTGACTTCTGATCTTCCTTTGTGCTAGGAACAGTTCAAAAGGCGCGTTTTTCTGATACACACCAACGGTTTCATTGGGGCTCCTTGATGCTTCATTCAGTTGAGTGCTGCTTTTATGTCAAGGGCAGTCACTCCCACTGCTCAGTCTAGTACATATTTCTTCAGGACTATTAGAGGAAAGCTGTCAGGGTCCATAGCCTTTGCAGTATCTAGTGTCTTCAGCTGTTCTTTGAAATCATGTGGAATTAATTGAATTGGCTGAAGGTTTGCAGCTGAAGAACTCAGGAGGAGGCCCAGTTGGATTGTCCACTCAACTCTTCTCGCTGAAGATCAGTTCAAATCATTCAGTATTGTCCTTTGCACAGATGTGTTGGTCTCCCCCATCATTACGCGTGGGGATACATGTGGAGCCTCCTCTTGTTAACTATTTAATACCACCATTAGTAACAGGCTGAAGCAGGACTATTGACTATCCAGCTCCCCCAACACCCAACTCCCCAATGCCATCTTAAAAGCATAAGTTGTCATTGATGTTGTCAGGTTCTCTGTTCTTATACGTTCAGGGCAAGTATGAATAAAACACCAGTTGTGAGACCACCATTTTTGTCTTTCAACGAGAAAATATACACATAGTTCTCATTTCTGCACAAGCCAGAAGTTGGCAGGCATGACAGAGGGCCGAAATAACTTACAGGATTGAAATCTTTGCTGGCATTGATACAATACTGTTTGCTATTAAAATCCTGCATTTTGGACCCTCCATTATTGTACTAGAAATCAAAAATGTAATAATTGCTGCAAATCTAGTGTCCCACTGTTCTTAATAGAAGCCAGGATTGTTTATTTACATGGACATGGCAATCTTTTAGACTTGCTATAGAAAAAGCTGCAAAGATTGTCATCTATTTTTTGAGTATAATTTTCTTCCCTTCCTCTACAACCTTGGCTGAAAGCAGAGCTAAAAAACTGTTTCGTATGAGAATGTTAGAGACAGTTACTGAGTCCACATTGACTTTTGTGTGGACATTTCAGCTGTTTCTTTGGGGAAATACTTTGATTTCTGTGCTGTGGGTTATGGCTCAACCAAGATCAATACCCCCTTCCTGTTTAAAGATCTAACCAAAAATAAACTAAAGAACTGCGGATGCTGGAAATCTGAAACAAAAACAAAAATTGCTGGAAAATCTCAGCAGAGTCTGGCAGCATCTGTGGAGAGAAAGCCGAGTTAGCCGTTGAGGTCCAGTGACTCTTCTTCAAAATCTTCAGTTTGTCACTTTAACTACTGAGTTTTTCCAGCAATTTGTGCTTTTGTTTCAGATCTTCCTTGTTAAAGATTAAAGGTTAAAGCTCTTCCTTGTTTGCTATTTGTGACCTCGCTTCAAATAATCATAGAATCCCTACAGTGTGGAAACAGGCCCTTCTGCCCAACAAGGCACACCGACCCTGACAGCATCCCACCCAGACCCATCCTAATCTACACATCCCTGAACACCACTACAGGCAATTTAGCATGGCCAATCCACCTAACCTGCACATCTTTGGACTGTGGGAGGAAACCAGAGTACCCGGAGGAAACCCACGCAGACACAGGGAAAATGTGCAAACTCCACACAGATAGTCGCCCAAGGGTGGAATTGAACCTGGGTTCCTGGTCCTGTGAGGAAGCAGTACGAACCACGGAGTCACCATGCCAACCCCTACAGTGAATTGGGAAAAACTTTCCATAACATGTGTGACATTGTGGCTGTTGAGTTATATCCTCCAATGTGCTGTACGGATGCAGTAGCCCTCGACACGGCATTTCTATTGAACCAGCACTATAATGTAAACCTTATATTCATTGAGAAATATTCATTGAGGTGACTACAAAAATTGAGAATGGATAGCATCGTGGAGAAATCTCCTGCATCCTTTGTTTTATAACAATTCAATTTAAAATTCAAAGCTACTTTTTATTTTCATAATTATTAATTTAAATGTAATCTATGATGTAGAATGTAAATCCCACAGCATGTTAATAGAAAGCAGGTAGTAAGAGCTGGAGAGGGTCCTCACAGATAATGGGAGAGGGGTGCGGGGAAAGTGGGAGGGGATGGTCGCATGGGGATACATGCTTAGAAGCACAGGGTAAGGATGGGTTACCTAATAAGGTCTGTGTACTGGTGTTTATTAAAATAAAGGAATCTGACAAATTATTGGACAATTGGAACGATGGATAATATGAAATTGAAAAGGTGGAGATACTGGAAAGTCTGTCTAAGCTTAAGAGTTGCTGATCCAGATGGCTTGCAAATGACGTTGCTAAAGGATGTAAAATGAAGGAAGCAGAAGTGTTTCCATTAACATTTCACTTTTTAGATATGGGAGAGGTGCTAGAGGATTGGAAAATGGCAAATGATATTCAAGCATGGGTGCATGGACAGTTCAAACAGCTACAGGCCAGTTAGTTTAGCATCAGAGGTAAATCCTTAATCGGAGCAAAAAATCAACAGGCACTAAGAGATTCTTGGAATTAGTTAGGTAAGGCCTATGTCGATTTGTAATGTAGATCGTGCTTGATTAATATAAATTGAATTCTTTGATGAAGTAACGTTGAGCATGGTTGATGCAAGGAATGTGGTAGACTTTGACAATATGGATTTGAAGAAAAGATTTCACAGGGTATCACATAAAAGGCTTGTTAACAAAATGTGAGATTTGAGGAATAGGAAAATCAATGTCCAATTGTATTAAAAAAAATTGGGTTAAAGACAGAAAGTAGCAAGTCAAAGTAGATTATGAAACAACAAAGTGTGAAGCTGGAGGAACACAACAGTCAAGGCAGCATCAGAGGAGCAGGAAAGCTGACGTTTCAGGTCGGGACCCTACTTCAGAAATGGGGAGGGGGAAAGAAGCTCAGAAATAAATAGAGAGAGGAGGGATGGGGCTGGGGAAGGTAGGTGGGATGGTGATAGGTGATTGCAGGTAGGAATAGTCGGGATTTGTCAGTGAGATGGGAGTGGCAGACAGGTGGGCAAGAAGATGGACGGGTTGTGTTAGGTCATTGTGACACATTTTAACTCCCTGTCCCACTCCTTGGGTGACATGTCCATCCTGGGTCTCCTCCAGTGTCACAATGATGCCACATGCAAACTAGAGGAGCAGCACCTCATATTCTGCCTCGGGAGCCTACAGCCCAATGGTCTAAATGTGGATCCTACTAGTTTCAAAATCTCCCTTCCCCGGCCTCCTTCCAAGACCAACCCCCCTCTCATCCCCATCTCCTTGACCTGACACAACCTGTCCATCTTCTCTCCCACCTATCTGCCCCTCCCACCTCACTGACCAATCCCGACTATTGCCTACCTGCACTCATCTATCACTATCTCACCTACCTTCCCCAGCCCCACCCCTCCTCTCTCCAGTTATTTCTGAGCTTCCCACCCTCTTCCCCATTTCTGAAGAAGGGTCCTGACCCGAAACGTCAGCTTTCCTGCTCCTCTGATGCTGCCTGGCCTGCTGTGTTCCTCAAGCCTCACACTTTGTTATCTCTGACTCTGCAGTTCTTGCTATCTCAGTCACCGTAGATTGTTGTTTCTTAGTGAGGATGGTAAATAATGAGATTTCCCAGAAGCCAGTAATAGGTCCACTAGCTTTTTAGCTTTGTATAAACAATTGGCATTTTGTAATATGGGGTAAAATTTCAAAATTTGCAGACTACTAAACCTGGAGGAGTGGCAAATATTTAGGATGATACAAGTTGCCGACAACAGGAAATGGATAGGTTAGTAGGATGGGCAGACAAGTGGCTGATGAACTTTAATATAGAGGAGTGAGGGGGTGATGCATTTTGAAAGAAGGAAAGGGGAAAAAAAGTACTATATGGACTTAATGGCACAATTCTGAAAAGGTTTGCAGGAAAAGAGGGACCTGTGGGTGTGTGCATCAATATGTAGAAAATATTGAGAATGTGATTAAGCAAAACATGTGACATTTTGTACTTTATAAATAGTTTTATTGAGTACAAAATTAACTTATGCTGAACCTGTATAAAACTCAAGTTAGGCACCAAACAAAATCTTGCATCCAATTTTGGTCACTATATTTTGGAAAGGATGTCAAGATCTTTGGAAGAATACAGAGGAGAGTTACACAAAGGGCTCCAGGAATGGGGGATAGGGGTGGCTTTGCTAGAAGATTAGATTGGAAATGTTGGCATTGCCCTGCATGAAGCAAAGGAGATTGGAGGGAGATTTGATGAAGGTGTTATAAGCTTATGATAGACTCTGGGTGAGATAAACATGGAAAATCTCTGTCCATCAGCTAATTGTGCAAGAATTAGGGGACACAGTTTTAAGATTTTGGGCAAGTGACAGAGGGGAAATGCGAGGATAAACTTCTGTGCATTGTGAGTGGAAACATGGAATTTGCAGCTCACGAGTGTTGGTGAAAGCTAAAACAATCAATGATTTCAAAAGGAAACAGGCTAGCCACTTGAAGGAATACACTTGTAGAGCTACAGGGACTGGGCTCTTAGATTAGCCTCCTTGTAAGGTATGAATTATATGATATAACACTTTGGACTCAGAATAAAACATTCTTTTAATTTTGATTTAGAATCCTGATTTTATTTTTAAATGCTGCTGCAATTGTTATTCCATGCCATAAAAGTACTGCATTTGCTCTCTGACATAACTTCTTAATACTTATTACTTTCTGAGTACTATGTCTTTACTACATCTAATCTTCAGTCAAGTGACTAGAAATGATCTTTGCTTCTTCTTTGTATTCACAGATGAACAGACCGATCCAGGTGAAGCCTGCGGACAGTGAGAGCAGAGGAGGTAGTTGTCTTTGTTGCTCCAAGTCTGATGCTGACTTTATTTTGTTTATTGTTGTTCAATTTCTGAGGCAAGGATGCATTAAATCAAAAACTCAGCTGAGGACCATTGTATTTTCTCACCTGTAATGACACCTGCCTTCAGTTTTATTATGATACCTGTTTTCCATTTAAAGGCGCAGTGCACTTATTCCAAAGATCTAATTGTCATTTTTGGTCTGTTCTGTGTGTAGAAAAGTCAATTAACTTAACTAGCGATCTCTGTCTGTTTGGATAGATTTAGAAGGTTAGTAAATGGATTACTAGAGTTATAAAGAATAATACACTGAGAGATATTCAAACAAAGAGATAAAGAAGGTTATACACTAAGAAGCTTTATTTCTGCTATTCCTAAAGCTCTTCACTATTCTTAAGTTAAGTTCTCTAGAGAAATCATTAAGTAATTTTAAAAGACAGCATGAAATGTGCCCCTCACAGCAGTACTCTGTAAAGACATTGAAGGAGTTACGTTAAATATATAGGTGGATATTTTACTGACTAAAACTGGGTTTGTTGAAGAAAATGGTTTGAAGCCATTTTTCAAAATATTTCAAGGCATCAGGATGGCAATAAATGTTTGTAGATATGGTAGCTTGTGGTAACATCTCGCATAATTATTTCATTAGGGGCTCATGACTGATGTGAACAATTTCATGGTATCTCCATGTGCTATAGAGCTGAATATTTGTTTTACACACTAAAATGAAAATAAGAATTTCTACAGAATTTAAATGCTGGAAAATCTTTTAAGTTCTCTGAGCAATTATCACAAGTAATGAGACTATGACAACCTTTGTACGTATTGCTTTTCCAGATTATCTAGAGGTCTCAACCTTCATTTATTTCTCCTATTTTCCAATTGGCTAGATTTCCTGTTATCATGAAGGCCTAACATAGTGCTTAACAAAGGAGTCCAAGGAGAAGAAGCCTGCAATTTCAATCCTCTCTCATAAATATATTTCCAATCTGTCTTTCTGTTTCGTAGTATGCGTCTGGGTTTAGATTTTCAATTCCTACATCAAGTGACAAGCAGCTTTCAAAATGTCTCCTTTGAATAATTAACTACTAAGAATTTTGTATGTTTCAAAGTTAACATATGATATATATCATAGTCTCAGAACGGGTTGGAAAGTTTGACTTCTAGGGATGAGCTGAATAGGCTGGGGCTATTTTCCTTGGGATGTCGGAAGCTGAGGGGTGACCTTATAGAGGTTGATAAAATTATGAGGGGCATGGATGGGTTAATAGACAAGGTCTTTTCCCTAGGTTGGGGGAGTCCAAAACTAGAGGGCGTAGGTTTGAGGTGAGAAGAGAAAGATTTAAAAGGGACCTAAGGGGCAACATTTTCACACAGAGGGCAGAGCGTGTATGGAATGAGCTGCCAGAGAAAGTAGTGGAGGCTGGTACAATTACAACATTTAAAAGGTATCTAGATGGATATATGAATAGGAAGGGTTCAGAGGGATATGGACCAAATGCTGGCAAATGGGGCTAGATTCATTGAGGATATCTGGTCGGCATGGACGAGGTGGACTGAGGGTCTGTTTCCATGCTGTATATTTCTGAGACTCCAAAGCGTGCTTTGGGGCAACAGGATTTTTGTTCTCTGCTGGACTAGAGCAGCGGTAAAGTTGTATATTCTTCAGTATGCCATATTTTGCTGTTGGCTGATTTGAATATTAATGATATTGGTCCAATGTCAGAGTCAGAGTAAATTGCTTTGTTTTTCAAGTGTTACTGACACCGGTATTCCCATTCACAGTTACTATCATATAACTTTACGAAACTTGAAATATTGTATTTTCTGTATGTAATAACCTTAATAAAAACAAGTCAAGTTCCAAAATTTTATGTTTGGTTAAGAGAACAATTGGTTTTTCCATTGTGAAGGGGAGGGTGAAGACAGAGGAGCTCTGCACTCTTCCACAAAATTGGAACAAATCAATTGTGGGATCACTGGGAAGGTCTTCCATAGCTTTCCACTGTAGAGATTGTAACAGGGTCAGCCAGGCGGACCTAATAGAATGAGTTCCCTGATTGGGGCTGTTGATCTAGTCCAATCAGGGAACCCTGGCTGACAGATAAAAAGAGAAATGTCAGATATTCTGACACTCTAAGAACTGCCTCTGAGAGAGCTGGACCCATGTCAAGGACTTTCCACATGCAAATAAAGGGTGACTTGTGACGGGGTACCAGCTGCCGTCGAGTTATTTCACCCACTGTCTTCTCAAGATTTTGAGTAGATTCTACAACATAATTCCCAGGTCACCCTTGGGTTTCCATTCAGTATAAGTCTTGCAGCTCGTTGGTCTCCAAAACAGTCCTCACAGCAGAGAGAGAAAAGATAATTAATTTTTGAAAATCTCAATTGCCCGATAATGACCACAAATCTCAAGCTGTAGTCAAAAAATATTTCTTTTTGTCTGTTAAGGGTCATTGCCATGGAGCTACTTTGATTTCTCAGTTGTCTCTGAGGATAAGTACCTGCAGGCATAGAGGTTGCCTTTCCCAACTAAGGGAATGATTTAGAGCATTTGAATTCTATTCTTGTATGACAGTTCTGTTTAGGTGTATTGTTTGTATATCTACAGCAGACAGTTAACATTTACTTCTTAATTTTGCCCCATATACCAAGAATCTGTGTAGTTCATATCAATGAAGTCCTCTTTAACAATAGCTTGCAACAAAATTCTCAACAAACAAGGATTAATTTTTTAATCAGAAAGTCTTTAACACTCTGAATGTTTTCTAAGCATATATATGTGAAATGTACCAGTAATGCAGAACAGTTTAGAAGTATGAACATTGAAAACAAAAGCCTCATTAAGCAGAGTGATCAATATTGATCAATGAAGGTAATGGACAGGATATTGCGTCCCGATTGCTGAAAAGCCACATTCTGTTTTCTGAGCAGTCCAAAGGCTGTTGTTTCGGGGAGGACAAAGAAAGTGCTTCAGGGACATTCTGAAACACTCCTTGAAGTGCAGCAACATTAACATTAATGACTGGAAGGAGCTTGCTATTAATAATTCAGAATAGTGACAACTTGGCCATATAGCTGTGTCATTCTTTGAGCTCAAATATCTTCATGATGAGGCATAGCAGTGGCAGTGAAGGAAGGAAAGGAAGCAAATCATGCACTCCAGATCCCACTAACTTGTGGGATGTGGTGCCCCATATTCTCAAAGATCTACACTTCACAAATCAGCCTGTTCAGTATGATGAAGACCCATGACAGTAACTCGCAAATTCTGAGTTGGCATCATCCTCTGAATTGACATAAAACTGACAACAATTACACAATACCAAGCTTTGATTAGTTTTTGAAAGGATTGTAAATTGTCAGAAGAAAAAAGTGAGGGAGGTAATTTCCAGACTATCAAATCCTGTGAAAGAAGCAAAAGTGCACAAAAATGGGAGTGAAATTGGCCTCCATTAACTTGGCAAATCTTGTGAAGATTTTTAACTTTAAACCAAGTAAAACTATAAAGTCTTGAAAGCAAGTTTCCAGTAAGGGATTGAACAATGATCTGTGGACTTCAATGGAAAGAAAATTGACACAGTAAAAAGGCAGCTGTAATTCATCATTACCCTGTTTCTCAGTTGGAATTTCACCCCCAGTGAATCATAATCACCACACAATTAGATTATAGGTAGCAGATAAAATGCTTGAATAGTTGGAGTTTAGATGGAGCAATAAGGGAAAGAGTGAAGGAACATTGACCACAGTGGTAAATGTATATTTGATAAAATAGTGTGGTAGAAGAAGAATGGTTATACATGCTTTGATTTTGGGAACTGATTCAATCACAGCAGTTATTTTCTGCGGTATAGTATCCTGTGGATCATTAACCGGTAATGATGATATCCTTATAACTTTTTAGTCTTTACTCTGTACTTCAGTGCTACTTTGAACTGCCATTAACTGAGATCCCATTTACAAAGACCATTATACATTAGCAAAAATTATGGGTAATGGGAAGAGAGTAAAAAGCCATCATTTTATATCTTTTATGACATCATCCCAGGCAATTGACTGCATTGCAGGCTTTATTATCTTGGTCAAAAGATTCAGTGTTTTCTACATAATTAGTAATGAATGAAGGCACATAATAGGCAGCTGTATCAACTGTGGCACAATGCAATGGTCACTTAAAGCCTTTCAGAGTGGAAGCATGTTAGACACTATATGGTATGTATGTCTGGAGACATCATAATGAGACAATTATACATTATTAGCTAGATTATGCATTTTAGATATTGGCTGATCAGTAGTCATTAGGCCCAATAGGATCTGGCATTGTAAGAACGTTATTAGAGTTTGAGAGTGTTAGGAAGAGTTAACTGATTTAGAAGCATATATCTTCTACTCAGGACTATGATTCAACACTTTGTCCATCAACACCACAACTATTGATTCAAGAACACTTTTTTTCCCACACGGTATTCAGCACGCTTAGCTGATTTTCTTTTTGACTTTTCCAGCGTGACATTGAATGCTTCTCCTTCTTATCTAATGTAGACTTTATCTGCACCATCAGTCAAAGTGTTGCCTGCACATATAAGCAGCTGGTTGACCCATCCATCTATTCTCTATTCCCCGTCTTCATGGTTAATGATCAATCACTGGACATTAGGATTTCTTTTGTATTTTGGAAACGTTGAAACGTGCATCCACAATATTTATAGATTTTTCAGCAAAATGCTTTTTTCATTATGCAGCAATTTCTCTAACTGTTCACATCTATCTTATATATCCACAACTCTAGGCAGCACCAGCTGTTGACACATGACTTAACTCAGTTGCTGTAGTGAGTTACCAGCAACACGCTCAATATGGGAAGCATCTTGATGCCTCGATACAATTAGACCAGTTGCAAATATTTTGGTAGATTCAGCCCAGATCTAGATTTGATAAATGCAAAACCCACCACTCCTTTCTGTCCTTTGTGCCCAAATCCAACAGTT